CTTAGAGGATGCCCAAGTCTCAGCAGCTAAATTGGCATATGGGAAAACAAAGACTTATTTATTGCTCGCACGCAAGTCTTATGGTATTTTATACTTTACTTACCTGAACAGAAGCATCAGGGCTTGGAGGAAGGTGCGGAAGTTATTGTGCCGATTAATGGAGGTTTCATCATCTAGTGCAATGTTTCCAAATACCTGCCACAGAAAACAGAAGCGATTTAGGCCAAACGCATCCTCGCGTGGATGTTGTCAGTAAAGGTAGATCAAGTGGAGTTGGGAGAAAAGACAGGAAAAGAATTTGTCCTGGTTCAAGGGATCTCAAAAGCTAGAGTAATTTCTGTGCTGAAGAGGGAGATAAAAATGTGTTGTGGAGATCAAATGGGGAAAAAAAATCAGTTTAATGTGCTTCGTCTTCACAGAGACCCTTCCCAACACCACAGTTCAGCTCCATCCCAGGCCAAGAAAAGCTTCTCATTTCTTTTCAGAAAGGGGCAACGCCTGAGCTGCTCCCTGCTCTCAGCCTCTTGACATGCCCGTACCCCGCGGAAGGGACCTGCCCTGCCCACGGGAGACACGGCTGCCCCCCACCACCTCCGGAGATGCTGCGCTGCAGGCTCGTCACCCGCAGCCCGTTTGCCTGCCCACGCTCTCCCTTTGTAGCCCAGAAATATCTGTACGCCCAGGGCCACATTCAACACAAGACCTGGCAATAAGGGTAGAAAAAATGGCCTTTTTTTCACTTCTAATTTACCTGACACTGGACTTTCGCCTCATCTTAAGTCAGGTGTTGATCCTGCTGCGCAGGCAATAACCCATTTGCACCCTGAACCAGCGGGACAAAACCAGGCTACTTATGGTCAGTATTAAAGCTAGAATTTTACCTGCATGCCAATAATGGCATAGATGAAGAAGAGCATTGCAATGAGGAGACACACATAAGGCAAGGCCTGTGGGAAAGGAGAAGGCGGTATTAGTGACAGCAAATGCATACATCAGCCGGTAGCACTTAATTCCTAGGCAGCAGTGTGTTTTGTGGCATTTGTCCTTCAGATGAAGGAACTGGGAAGAGAACAGGAGCAATTCTGGCAGCCTTCAGAAGACTACCCTGGAGCCAGGTATTCATCGATCACAAAACAGTCTGCGCTTTCCAAGGGCTCTCTATACATCCTTGCAAGCAGATAAGCAGTAAGCAGGGAAGACACAATAAGAAGCTCCGCAGCAAACACTGGAGGTACCGGCAGGCACTGGTACTTTCTACGCATAATTGTACAAACATTAATTTTTAATGACCTTTGTGTAAATTTAGTATGAGAAAAAAATATACATCCAAGAAACAAGTTCCTGCTTTGAAACAGGCACAGATTGCAATCCCAGGAGGACAAAAAGATTCTGAGTTTTAGCAAGAAATCAGTGAAGGCTACAATGTAATTATGTCAACCAAGCTGAGAGTAATAGCTACTTTCCACTCAGGCTAAATGAATGGGTAATTAATGCTTCTTAATTAGCAATAGCTGAAAAAATGAGAAGTCTTGCCCTAGGGCTAGACCGTGTGATGCTCAGGGCAGGCCACGGGGAACCCAATAGGAAACATGGGGCAAAGGGCTGATGTGGTTTCTGCTGGACACTTTTGCACAAGGGACAAGGACCGAGAGCTCAGGGATGGGTGAAAGGTGGCCAAGCAGCTCCCCACACAGCCTGGGAACCGTGCCGGCTCTGCTTCAGGGGCAGCACTCTGCACACACACTTTGGAAAGGGTCGGGATTATACTGAAAAGGGCCTTGGCTGAGCCCCTCTTCCAAGATCCAGCCAAGACTACACAGTCCAAGGACACCTTCCTGAGTGGGAACATCCTATACCTGCAGACCGCACATCTCAGCCTCTGGTAGAGGCTCTGCTGGCTGCAGGATTCCTCATGAGTTACAAGGTGAGAGCAGCAGCAACACCACCTCCACCCACCCTCGAGGAAAACACGACCTAACAAATCTAAGGCACTGCAACCCCCCAAAGCGCAGTCCCTTTCCATTAGCTCCTTGGTGGCTGAGTGAAAGCGTAACACAGAAGTTGAAGGTGAGAGCACCAGCTGCCTGCCTGGTGTCTCCCAAAAGGACGTACAGTGATACAAGACTCACTGCCAGCCCTGGCCATGGGATAACAGCACGGATGCCTGCAGTTCTTCTCCAGGTTGCTTGTAGAAAGAAGCAATCGCTATGTTCCCATCGCCACCCTCCAAAAAGGTTTTGCCTCTATAGTCTAAAAGGTCTAATAGAAACTTCCGTCTCGACCAGCAATAGCCATGTTCAGGCTTTGCTGAAACCAGTTCTCCATCCCAGTTCTCTCGCAGCAGGCACGGGGCTGGCCAGCACTCCCAGCCTGGCATGGGCAGAGCCACCCGGCATCTCTCTCCAACCACAGGAGAGAAATGCCTTTCTTCTCTTAAAAAGTCTTTTCCTTTTTTGGAAAGACCACATTCCTCAGACCACAACCTGCAGACAAAGCTCCCCTGAGCTTGCGACAGCACCCAGGACATAAGCTATCACCCGCAGACCTCAGAGCTCAGCCCAGAAGGCAGCGAGACCCTGTGCAAAGCCAGAGATATGGTCCCCAGGCTCGCCGAGCCACCCGCCACGTGCACGGGCAGTGCTCCGGAGTGGGAGATGAAGCTTCCTGGCTGTGAGCTAGTGAACAGATCCATCTTCGGCTACTCCCTGACCTCCTTGTGCTTTGCTTTCCCACATCACCTCTCTACTTATATTTCTCTGAAAGTCCTGCGAGATCTCCGCAGCCAGGGAGGTCAGTGCTCTCTAGGAGAGGGTCCATGTGTGATGGGACCGGGGGTCTGCACCCTACAGCTGCACAGTCAATAAATACTAGTGTGCTAGAGCTCAGTATCACTGCTACAAAAGCCAGATTTCAGCTTAAATGATCTCCTCCCTGCGCTGCAGAACCTGAGCACACCCCGTAATCAAAGTTAAAACACAACAAGCTGTGGAAACAGGCTGCAAACCAGCTGAGAGCTGTTAAAAATAACCAGCTTTGGGGCCTGTGGGCTCTTATGTAGATCTGGAAAACAGCTATCTTGAAGCTAAGTGCAGGTTGAGAACTAAGCTGTGTAAGGCAGTTGTTTGAGGGTCACTCAGTTCAGAAGTGCCATCCTGAGCTGCCGTGGCCGGTTGCCCCTGCGCCACAATGTCCCAGCTGCCACGACGTGCTGAGGCTTGCTGGGAGGGAAGGGCAGGGGAAAAGGAAACCAGGGAAAGCAACTGTCTCGACTTTAGAACAAAAAATCGTTTTTGTAATCCTCCACATCATAAAAACAGCTTCACAGTTTATATTACCAAAATGCAACGGTTTAGGTTTTGCTTCTATCAAATTCTACCAGACTGAAATCTGGTGAAAGCAATTTGCACTCGCTGCAGGCAAATAGCAGGCATTAAGGCACTTATTAGTCAGACTACCATTTCCTTATGCTAATACCCGAGTCTCAAGATTTTGCCATAGGGATTTTGTGGCGGTTTTCAAGGGCAACTTGAGCTTTGTGCACTTGCTGCCGGTCTGCACCAGTAGCCATCCAGCTTTCAAACTCATCTTCCAAAATGCTCAGCACCTACAGTGTTCAAGGGATGTTCAGTGCAACCAGTTAGCATTTCTGCAGAATTAATATTCCTGTAATTGCTTTGCAGAGGTGCAGAGAGGCCATTCCCTTGGCAAGGGCAAGCTCTTCGATACTCAATGGACGATGCTACGGACGTGCCAAGCGTTACCATCTCCCCGCGTCTCTTCCCTGCCTCCCACCTGCCTAACACTCACCTTAAAAGACTGCACAAACGTCCAGAGCAAGATACGGATAGTGTAACCCTGGCGAAGGAGCTTGATCAGTCTCGCTGCCCTGAAGAGCCGCAGGAAGCTGAGGTTGATGAAGTTGTCCTGCGGAAAGTAAAGGTTTTGTGTCCTTCAGAAATTAACGCGATTAGAAACCACAGCCCGCAAAAAAGAAATTAAAATTACCAGCTTCACGATCTAAGCAGCAAATCGGCCACCAGAAAACCTTCCAAAAGAAACATTCGTCAGTGCAGATCACTCCACATGCAGCAAGTATGAGAAAATCCCTCTCCACAAGAGCCCTCCCCTCTGCTACTGGGTCAACGATGGAAAAGGAAAAGGCCCTTTCACGCTGTCCATGGAGGTCTTGTTTTCTTTGAGTAAGGCAGATTTTTCTCCCCCTAAAGACTCAGGGAGAGGTAATGGTGCCATATTATCATTTTGTAAAGAATGAGGTTGTTTTAAAGTCTTGGTCAGCTCGCTTTCTACAAATGAATTGAACTTAAGCCAAGACAGTTGCAAGGGACTGCGTATATAGTCTCTACCGTAACAAAGAAAGGCATTGTCCAGTGAAGATTAAAACATCCTTGAAAGAATGAGGATGTTTTCTAACCTGGAGGTTTTAAATGTTTACACAACATGTGACTGGACAGGCTCGTCAAGGAGAAATGGCACCAGCAAGACTGTTTGGAAGCTGGATCGATGGCAGCAAATCAATCGGGGAGGTTGAGCGTTCAACAGCAGGAGGGTGCCTTAGGAACCTGCTGATTTTTTAAATTATTATTAAATGTGCCTTGGCAAGTGGATCAAAGAACTGCTGGAGACAGATTCTGATTTCCATTTGTTTTGTATGATTGTCCCCACCCCGCACCCCATCTTTTTCTTTCCTTCAGGGAAAAGAGGTTTCTCGCCCCAATGAGCTAATCTAGAGAGGGTTCTTTCCAAAACAGAACATGCAAAAGCCAGATCCCTCTTGCCCTCCTATTTTAAGGAGATGAAAAATATCCCCCCTTTCCGTACTGATTCCAATTCACTTATTTGTGAATCTTTGTTCACAGCCACTTCTTTGACTGAGTTAGCTAAAGAGAGAAAGCATCCCACTTCAAACTATCAAGCAGTGGAGTGGAAAATATAATCATAAGGAGCTCTTGTTGGTAAAGATGAGCAAAAATAGTCTTTCCCTTGTATTATTGTTTTACCAGAAGACACCCAGTCATATTGAACTGACCCACGTTTCTTGCTCATTTGGCTACAGAGCTCACGCTGAGTTTGAGGGCCTTGTTGGATCTATTCATTTATTTAAATGCCAGCTCAGTTTTGGGGCCATTAGCATCGCATTCCACCAATCCCATCAGAGAGTTCAAGAAATCAGTCTCAGGCATGCACTTGGTTTCTGTCACGTTAAAAACGCAAGCAGCTCAGAGTTAGGCACAGACCGTATATCAGACTCAATCCTCAAATAAAGAGAAAAGAGAAAAGCACAGGTATGTTCAATGAAAGAGCAGACAACACTGAGCTCATTCAGATCAGCAACAGAAAGCAGCTCTGGCAGGCAAAACAAGCACGGATTCCCCTGGGTTGTTCAAAGTCAGTAAAACAAGTGCTAAAAAGTCAACGCTCGTCTCTTACCATCAGCTTCTGTTTTATTTTTCACATCGGTTTTGTTCCCTTCACAAAATACCGGTTGAACTCACCTTAGCAGGTAAGGGCTTGTATAGGACCCGGGGGGCAGACCGTGGCTGGAATAACCGGGTGCCGTCAGCAACCCGGTCCTTAGTAGCCCGTTCCCCCCGCGCTGGCCGCGGTGCAGGCTGATACACCTCCGCAGAGCAGCTGCAGGGGGCTGCAGTGCAGGGCAAAGGTTTAACCCAGAGCCCGTTTTAATCACGGAAAGTTTCCCCACCAGTGGGAACTGGATCAGACCTTAACGATAATAGGCATTACCATAATGCCATGTTCACGGCACTCGGGCACCAGGCCTGCAAGTCTGACAAGTTATTACCTTCAGAGCAATGCGCAAGCCAGATCTTTCCTGTGCACAAGCCTAACGCTCCTCCAAGGAGCGTGTGCACAGGCAGCGTCTGCAGGATCCATCTCTCTGCGTACGAACCTGCCTTACCTCCCTCTTCCCACCTTACTGCACCTTAACAGCAAGAACATTGTTTTGCTCAGACTTTGCTATAATCTCACAATCACAGCTGACATGGTGCCGAACATCTGCTGTGGTCTGGGCAGACTGCAAGGTCACGCTTAGCACAGGCTATCCCTGTGCTACATGAGGCTTTATACAGGACAGTCTGTATACGTGCAATATGAAACAGGGGGCTCAAGACTGTGCAGTTATGTCTATAACCCCCCACTTGCCGGGATTTGGAGCAACAAACAGTCCATAACCCTCTTTTTTTTTTTTTCCCCGTCCCAAACCCTCCCTGTTTGACTCATGCACTGCCATTTCCTAAAACGCAGCGAAATCCTCAGCTCCACGAGGAATCACTCGCAACCCAGGAAAATCCACCGTCACCAACATTCGCAGACCGTTCGAAGGACCGTTCTCTGCGCTGTTTGTAGGGAGGCAAAATTACACACGCTCGTGATGGATGGAAGGGCTGCGCGTGTGTAACCCTCGGCACACCGCGTAGAAAACCCGTCCTTCGACAACTCAACTGTCCAGCCAGGTATTAGAATTGCATGCAGTTAAAGGGGAAACTCCACGTTGCAATATTTCTTGTGTATAACAGTGTTTTGCATCAATTCTCTTCCCACTTAGCCACTTCTGTAACGTGTGACACACACAAATGATCACCTTCTGGGTTATCAAGGTCTTTCTCTCTAGGCTTTTTTTTGCTTTTCTGTTGCACAGATGCTAAAAGCTGACTGGTGCTCACAAGAAGCACCACAGCTTTATGATTTTATAATCCACCTGAGGACTAGCAAATTATGTTTGAAAAATGTTTCCCCCTGGCCTGTCACTATTTTCCTAAAAGAGGGGGCTCTGGTACCGAAGGCCCCCAGCCACCCGGCAGCCCTGGGGGGTCTGGGCACAGCCGGGCACCGCCACCGCTTCCCACAACAGGAGCGTGACTGAAGCTCAGCCGAGCGATGCATCCCTGGAGAAAACTGCAAAGCAGGAGGGAAACAGGGAGAACAGACAGCACAGATAAAGAACTGGCCTTGATCGCTGTCCTGCCATAGCAGCCTGCTCTTTTACCCTTCCTTAGGGTGTTTTCCATACTGAAAAGCAGAAAAACCATGAAGAATAGGGCGTACAGCCATTGCCCAGATCTGTTCCTCCAGCATCTTCAGCAGCAGAGCGGTTTTCTCCCCAACACAGGAGCTGTGCCCGCTGCCCACAGGGATGCAGAATGAGCTCCACCAGGTCAGTAGATTTAGTGGTTTGGATTTTTAAACTTGCAATGGGAATATGAGGTTTTTATGCCATGGCTATATTACACTGCCACAAAGCAACAAACTCAGCAGAAGCTGGGCTGCTCATCCCTGCTTCTTCCTGCAGCCCAGTTGCAGAACAAAACAACCCCCCGGACTTGAAACTTCAGATTTCTATCCTCAAAATGAGGGGCTCACCAAAGTTGCAAAGAGCTGTGGGAAGAGGAGTCTGACCAAGCCAAGAATGGGATCATTCAGGAAGCTTTGGCAGTTTGGCATCAACAAGAATTAACCTATTCTGCTAAGGAACTACTGTAGAGAAAATGGTTGTGTTGCCATTTAAATGTCCATGGCATTGCCAGTACTGAAGAAAAGCTGCTGAGTCTTGCGCAGGGTCTTGGCTTCCTTTGAAGCTTGGGGAAAACCCTTGCTGATTTTAAGAGGCTGAAGATTTTGCAACACTTGTCTGTGTCTTGGGGATTCTGCCATTACAGGCATATCGTACCATGTCCCTTCATCCTGAGCCAGGAACACTGAAAAATGGTTGTGCAAGTGTGTGATGCTCAGATCTCTCCTTGTTCCCTACTGCCTTTCAACTTTGGTGCTTCTGCTGTAGTCACTGTAGGCTCCCATCATCCACAGCAGAAGGAGGAAGGCAGCTCCAGAGGACAACTTGGTGCTCCAAAGAGCTAACTTGGACACCTTGGATGCTGAGTGATGGAAGGAGCCTGGACCTGCACGTATGACCATAGAGACAGCGATCCTAACAAACTGCAGGATGTGCATTTAAATCTTCAACCTGCCACATGGACAGCAACAAGGCCAAAATTAGGCCAAATGGAGATAAGCTGATTTTTCCAGTATATTTTCATGTGCACAGCTGATGCCAGAGGACTTATCTCTGCTGCCTGGGCCAGGGGTGCACGAAGGCGAATTGTCCAAAGATGTCCTCACAGCTCCCACACATCTGTAATGCTTCCAGCCACCGCAGCACACGCAGAGGGATTCCCTTCTCAGACTGCACTATGCAAGCTTCTAACTTCTACATTGTCATTTTCTTCTTTGCTGTTTCCTAGCAGAAAATTCCTTCCTGTGACCCTCCCTGAAGCATGGAGCTTATTTGCAGTCTGTCATGAAGATTCACTCTGATTTGTTTCTTAACAGCAACTGTGCAACAGAAAGTCCAGATGTTAACACAGATCTAAGAGCTGTTGTCAGGTGGCCAAGAAAGTATTTCTGATAAAGTTATGGTCTCATTTGTGTTATTAACCATAGCCAAGATAATTGAGAAAGGAAGAAAATATATATATATATATTTTAGGTTGCATTTTTCTTTATTCATCCTCTTTTGCTTAATGTATGATTTTCAAAGACAGAGGCCAGTATTTCCAAAGGCATCTTTGGAATCAGGCACTAAATTCCCAGTGGGACCTGGTTCCCAGTACTTTTCAGCCCTGTTCATAACATGGCTTATGCATTTTACTTGAGATGTTTGCTTTTGCATCCAGGGACTCTGTGTCCACTGTGGTGCCAAAATGCTTCTATATGCTGGTATCACAAAGAGTTTTCAAAGTTTAATAAAGATCACTACTCTTTCCTATGACTTCTCTTTTGATTTGAGGGAGGCAAGTCTGTAATCACTTCTATTATTTGTTTGCCTTACAATACAGTGTAAACCACGGGCTTAAAGTATCTGTAAGGCAGTCCTCTTAAATGTACTACTTCCCTTTGCAGAAAGCTCAACACATCTCATGGTAAAAGAAAACAAAACTGACTTCTGAGAACTGAATTTGGTACCAGCACTTACAAACTGAAGGGTTTCCCAGCCAGTCTGTAATCACTTCTATTATTTGTTTGCCTTACAATACAGTGTAAACCACGGGCTTAAAGTATCTGTAAGGCAGTCCTCTTAAATGTACTACTTCCCTTTGCAGAAAGCTCAACACATCTCATGGTAAAAGAAAACAAAACTGACTTCTGAGAACTGAATTTGGTACCAGCACTTACAAACTGAAGGGTTTCCCAGCCAGCCAATCTTCTCTACTCCAGGTCATCCGGAAGCATCCTTCCCTCCTATTCTCATTCAATTTTCCACCAAAATAAAGCAAGTGTCAGTCTCCCCTTTATCATTGTCAGGTGTAACAAACAGCAGAGAACAGGCTATTGGTAACTGCATTTGCCTCACGTCACCAATTAGCCAAGGGGAAGAAGGTGCAGAACAGAAGCCAGTTTTGAGGCACACTGCAGTGAGGCTTTTTCACCAGTGCAATCGGAAATCTCATCAAAACAAATTAAATTAAAGAAAAACGAGAGAAAATAAAAGCAGAGAATTTAAATAATTGTTTAAATTCAATGAAACCAACCGTGTCCTATATGTGATGTTTTCATGGATGGATATTTGCAAGATTATTTACAAATTTATTTTTTTGAGCAGCAGGTGCACAACATACAGACGGAGACATGGTTTTCGCATTGTATGTTGATTGGATGGCGTGATTCAGCAGGTAGATAAGGAAAATAAAGAACAAAACAGGAAACAAAAGAGAAAATGAGTAATCAGGACAAGCAAAAAAGGAAACTCTGAAAATTTCACTGGAAAAAAACTGTTGGGCTTTTGGGGGTGTTATTTTATGATAATTATATAAATAAAAAATGCTTCAAACCAAAACAGATTCTGAGATCCTAAAGGTAACACAGACAGTGCAGTAAGTATTTGCATTTCATTTTGTAATGCAAATTGGGAGACAATTCACAAACACTCTCGGTATGTTTTTTATATTTCCAGGCATAGAAATAGATGTCAGTTTGCCATACACCCATTCGGCCTCCTGAGGCCGGCCGTGTCTGCAAGGACACCTTCTCCTTAATGCCACCTATTTTACTATTTTACTTCCATCACTGGGAGTGTTAAAAACTGACATACGTGCTTTTGCCTAAGGAAATAAAAAAATATATACGTATTCCACTGCATTCACAAAGTAAATTACATATGACATGACTACAAAATTAAAATAAAGCAATTAATCAACACACATTTCTTTTCCTTTTATCTTTACTTCTCAGTGAGTTAAAAGTACCAATGCAGCAAGGCTGGTGGAAGCCTAGTCTCCCAAGATGAGTCCGCCCAGGTGAGCAGGTTTATTTACCTTGGAGAACACTTATAGCTGGAAAACATAGTCATGGAGAAAAGCGGTTCTCCTGCAACTATTTGCGAGCCTGATCTCAAAGTCATACCCAGAAAGCATCCCCTCTCCGCAAGGAGCTGGAGGGCTTCACGGGTGGCTGTTACAGGGACAGATGCAGACTGACAGTCGAGCTCACGTCGTGGCTGTCACCCGGGCTTCTCAGCCTGAGAAACCCTCCTGCGTGGATGGGGAATACAGGGCTGAATGCACAGGGAAGGACTAACAGGGGCTGCCACCCAACTACCCCCAGGGCTGCCCATCAGCCGAGGAGAGCCTGGAGCCGAGAAGGCAAATGGAGAAGAGAGCATCCTCTGTTGGGGACACAGCTCGGAGTCGTGATGAGTAAAGACCTGCTCTCCTCTTTGGTTATTCTCAGCTCCGTAACAAGGTGCAGAGAGCTGCTGCACCCCCGGTCATGCACCGAGCCAGAAAGTTGAAGTGGGGTTAAGCATTAGCTATGGAGTGGATGTTCATCCCGGTCTTTAGCTACTACTCTTCCCTACCTGGAAAAGAAAAGGGCGGAAAATGGTTGGGCAGAAGCAGTGGGATTAAAGACTCAAGGCCACACGCCTGATCTGTGCTCTGCGAATGAGGCACCCACCGGACCTCACCTTGGTCCCTGCTGTTTGCAAACAGCATGTTTGCTATCACTGCGTCAGGTTTTTCAGCCCTTTTCTGCATTTTAATTGGTTCTACGTTCCAGAAGTATTTAAGTGACTTAGATGCAACTCCAGTTGAACAAAATAGCAGGTCATATATTACAAAGGTGGTTTAAAGTGTAACTCTTCCAGGTTACACATGCACCGTGCCACTTTCCAGGCAGCAAAACAGTCCTGATGTTTCCCAGGCAGCCTTGGGACGCTTTGGGTTTCCCCTTATGCACTGTGGGTCAAAATAACACGTGTTGCAACCTATCGTGGAGCCAACAAAACAGGACCGGAGCAGAGTGCTGGATCCTTCAGCTTGTTTTCCACCCTACATGCCATAGCCTGTCCGCAGGACTGGAAGGAGAGGAAGGCTTGCAGTGGCAGTGGAGATCCTGGTACCAGACTACCTCCACCACATGCCACTGGATGAAGCAAATGAACTGCTCCGTGAAAGACATCCTGAAAGCTGCTGTTATTTGCTGCCAATAACAATTCTGTTATAAATGTAATCTTTGGGGCACCATTGTTCGTGTAATTAAACAGTGATTCTGAGATTTGTGCATCAATGTCACCTTTAAGCAAACTAAGCTCCTAACGCCTCTTCAGCAAGCTGCGCACGATGCGTTTGAACCCTCAGCCCATCGTCCCTGGATGATGACATCCCGGAGACGGATGTGTGCGGCTGAAGGAAGCGTACACCGGTGGCTACAAAAGCCGTGCGGTGCGGATGAGCGTGCTGCTGCAGACGGGCGCGGGCTGGAAAGAGATCAGAGAGGAGCTGTATAAAAGGAGTTTTGCAAAATAAGTCTAGCAGGAAGGTGCGGGGAGACCTCTGGGCACTCTCTGTCCGCAGGGGAAAGCATGCGGAAAGGAGGCATGATGGCTATACAGAAATGCTGCACAAGGGGAAGATTTAGAGAGAGCAGGGCTCAAATAAGTCTATGGACTGAGACAGAGGACCAAGAGGTCAGGGACTGGAGTGGTACTGGGGGACATACGGCTTTTATATTAAAGACATGTTTGTGAGCACCTTTGTGTTGGACACACTGCTGGAGGAAGCTGTTGAACTACATTAGAAAGTCCTCTCTAAGGTTTGACTTAATGGATCTGGTTACTCATAAACCAAAAGCCTCTCCATTACCAACTGGGAGGATAATGGAAAGGTGTAGAGGTGCTTGGGAGCTTCACCCTGTTGGAGTTTACTGACTGTTTTTAGAGGTAATTCATACTACTCTTTCAAAGGCATCCCCAAATCGCTGCCATCTTTGATGCTGGAAACCAGAGAAATTAGTGCGGAGTGGAAGGGCGATGCCGTCGCTCCCAGCACCCTCGAGGTTACTGGATCGGTGCCTGCCAACTCACCCGAGGGTGTTTGGGAGCACATTTACTCTCCAGCCCAAAGACCAGGAGAGGGGTGGGGAACCTCTGCCTACACACTAACTCTCCTACCCCTCAGAGTTGGCCAGCAGTGCCAAGGGACAACTGCTGCTTCCAAAAACTGGGGACGTCCGTATACAGCCCCAGACGTGCTGTGGCTTTGTCTTAAAATTCAGTGCCGTATCACAGCCCAACCCGATCAGTCCGCAGGCAAGTCCCCAGGTGCCAGACACCCTCGCCGAGGCTGGGCCACCCCCGGGGGTGAGGCAATGGCCTGTGAACCGAGCAGGGACCGCTACCTGCCAAGCAGGGAATGGGCAACACTGATGGCTGCTCTCTGCCTGCAAAACAGCTGTACAAAGGGGGATATTAATACGAGGCGTGTGGGCTTGGTCTTGGGAAGGAGACACCTCCCTGAAGGAGAAGATACCAGTCTCAGAGAGACGACAGGCTCCCTTACCACCTGCGAGTTGGCTTCCTCCAGTAAAAGTGGCCGAAGGAAGGGTGGAAGAGAAGCGTCAGTCTGTTTGTGGCTGACTTGCAAATGTTTTCACAAATTTTCAAACCAAGGCAAAGGCTTGGGTGCCTGAGTCTGACAAGAAAGCGTGTCCCACGACAGAGGGAGCGGAGGCAAGCACCCAGTATCTGCCCACGGTGCAACAGATCTCCTAAGCACTCGGAGAAGGGGTAGTCAGACCTCGTGTTTGATCTGAGTAACTTTACTCTGGCTGTAAGCCATGCATTGAAAACAAAAGGTAATCCAAAGTCTACGAGATAGGATTCACCAACTGTTAAATGAACACCATTCGTGCGGGGAGTAAAACCTTGGGGTTTTGTGTGCTTTTTTATATCAAGGAGGTTAGGTACTAACGTATTTTGTTAGAAACAGTAATATGGTCTTCACCACCAGCTGAATGTCCTGTAAAGAAGGCTGGGGAGCATATCTCTTAGCACACACAAAACAGATTTATAAGCAAATCCCAGGGACTGTGAAAAAAATTATGGTAAAGTTCCAATTCATCACATACAGATACAGCATCATCAGCTAAAACATGCATTGGGAGAGGAGAGGAGCAATTTCTAAATTGGATAATATCAGGCTGTCAAGGCTTAAGTCAGACATTTGCTGCCCTTATGGAAAAATCCTCTAGAATTTAATGGCAAGTTTGCACACTTGTTATAATTTACAGGACTCGTTAGCAGGGAGAGAGCAGTCATTGTAAAGTTGTTTGTTTGTTTTAATAATTGCCCTGCAAAGCTTTTGTGCACATAATAGAAATCCAGACTGTGCAGACTGATGAGTTTCTGGCTGTTTGTACGTTCCCATCACCTCTCCCCTTTTCACTCCCTCTTATCGCCTTCGCTCTGCCCCGTGACCAAGGTTGGGTAGGAGCCCCAAGGGACAGACGTGTGTGCCCGCCCTGCAAAGCACCTCACACTAAAACAGCAGTCTTCACCAGAATCCTTTTGATCTTTTCCCTCTATTAAATTCAACAGGATTTTTCCATTAATAGGCAAAAATGGCTTGGGGTTAGAGCAATTCGCTGAACGAGAAAGAGAGATTGTTTCCTGGCAGAGTCACTAGCACTGTCGTTCTCATCACAGCTTTCTGCATGAAAGTCTTTGGGGCAGGCAGCCGTGCTCATCTCCATGGAAAGAGCCGAGTTAATGGAAACAGGCTGCCAGGTCACCCAAGGACATCATCACACAGTGAGTCCCAGAGGCAGCTCTAGGGAACACGGCTGGTAGGGAGAAGGTGCAATGTCTTGACAGGGTACAGCTTTGTTGGTAAATGAAGCAAATTGAGCAAACTGTACTTACCGCAATCTCTGTTACTAAAATATCAGTAATACTTCCCAACACTGTTACAAAATCAAAGACATTCCAGGCATCTCGGAAATAATTCTGTCAAATGAAAACACAAGGGGGATAGAGGGATCCAGGGGTTATTTTTTTTTTTTTTTTTTGCAACGCAAGCTTTTTTTGCTTGTTTTTAAATGCACGTCATGAAATACAAGCATTTCATGTAGAGAGGAAACAGTTGAAAGTAAACGAGGAAGGCACATACCAGCACACCAAAGGCAATGATCTTCAGCACACACTCCATTGAAAACATGGATGTAAACACAATATTCAGGCATTTCAACATTTCTTCATATGCTTCTGGAGCATCATAGAACTAAACCAGGATGGAAGAAAGGCTGTTACTGGAAGATCACTTACAGAATAAAACCTTCCCAGCTGACTCGCCTGACTGCAAGACTCTTGCCCACTTTAGTGCCAGATTTTGTACTCACTTTAAGCAAGACTTGGGATTACAATATGGTTATTCATGCCACTCCAGAAGCACACCATTGCCTGTATACTATCTTAATGGGGTAGCTGGGGATACACCCAGGATGGGGAGATTGTTGCTGGTGTACATTTCCCTGTAAGCAGAGCATGGACCAGGAGGGAGGAAGGGCATTTTCAAAACCAGAGGACAAGTGCAGAACTGTGTTTCGTTCCAGCAGACCCTAAGAATATGGTGACTGTGAAGATACTTTTAGCTGGGCAAGGGATAGGAGGGGAGATCAACCACAATATCCAGCCATCTGCATCTCTTCCTCTTAGGCACTGAGGATCATGTTCCAGAAGCTTGACGCTGCTGCAAATCTGAGTAATTTCCCTGGGATGGCTTGGTGTCGAGCATCCCCAAGAAGTGACCCTGCTCTGCAGCAGGAAGCCCAGGTTGAGCCGGGAGCTCCAGCCCTGCAGAGCCCCGTTCCCATCCCACTGGCCACAGGCTGAAGGGACTACGAGCCAAACCAGCGCTGTGCAGTATCTCATCACAACTAAACCACCTCCCTTTGGGGACTGAAGAAATCCCACAAGGCCTCTAAAAACAGCGCCAGGCAGATGAGAAGTGGCGATTGCTCCTGCCGATCCCTCCCAGCTCTCAGGTCGAGAGTACAAAGCCTCTCCAGTAAACATCACATTCGCTAGCCCAAAATTGCAAAGATTCAGTAACAGCCCACTAACCTTCATCATTAGGACAATGGTATTGAGTGCAATCATGACCATGATAAAATACTCAAAGGGAGGGGACACCACAAATTTCCACATCTTGTACTGAAAAGATTGCTTGTTCTGAGGCATGTAGCGGGTCAGTGGCTTGGCACTTATGGCGAAGTCTATGCAGGCCCTCTACAAAACAAAAATGGGATGAAAAGAATACAAAAAAAGGGCTGGCAGTCTCTATCACTTGGGATATTGTTGGGAGAGCGAGCAGAGCATTTAGCAGAGGATGGTATTTCTAAGTGTTTCTCACACACGACGCGAGTACCGACTACCCCTGTAAAATGCAGCCCAGGATCCCTAAACTGTAACCACTTTTGAACACTCGCTGAAATATTAAGCCCCACAACACTCCTATGGCCCCCTGTAATCCTAGGAGACAGCCTTTCATCCCAGCCCAGCTCCCGGTAGGTCCCAATCCCTTCCCACTTAGGGAAGGGAGTTATAAATCCACAGGCTCACTTCAGAAAACACTCTGCCAATACCTCCTGATATGTAATTGTAGAAACTGGAGGATTGGTAAAGATGTTACCTGTGTTTAAAAAAAAGTATTGTGAAACCCAGGTATGTTCTCACACACAGCAAAACCTGTCCAGGTTCATAAAATGTGAACTGAACTCAACCAGTAAATTATCCAACAAATATTACTGGGTGAACTCTCAAAGACCCCTTAGTTGGCTATTTCTGTTCACATTATTATGAGTAGAAAACTGCATTAAAAATTGGTTTCTACCCACAAAATGTTTTGATTCTGGAGCATTTTCTCATCTTGGATTTAGATAAGAATTCAAAGTCTTAAATTAGTGCAAAAATATTTTCTGCTCAGTTGAAAAACAATGTGGGTAAAGCATCTCCAAGTATTCTGCTTTATTTTGGACTTTTTGTTCATATAGACAAACAATGCACTAATTAACAATTGATTAAAAAGTCATCTCTTTTCATCAAAAATGAAATTCCAGTTTCAAAATAAACGAAAAGAGATGGTTCTTCACACAACAAGTCATTGAGGCTGTGGGACCCCCGACGAAGGGTGTTGCGGATGCTAAAAATCTACACGGGTTCAGGAGGAAACTGGATACATTCATGGAAGAAAGATACACAGATGCCGCTAACTAAAGAAAAAACATGTTCAACTCGGGAGGTTCTTGAGCTGAAAACAATGGTATTTGCTAAGGCATTAAAGAAAAGCCTCATATGTGCTTGCCCTGGTCTTACACTCTTCCCAAGGCATCTACTTTTGGCTGCTGTCAGGAGGACATCATCTCAGCCAGGCACAAAGCTAGCCTGGTGAGAGGTGCGTTCCTCTGGGGAGCTGTAGCAATCGTAGTTCAGATTCATTTCTGACGACTGGCCTCTAAACGGCCAAAGATTTCTGTCTCCTTTCACACCTACATGCTTGAGCTAACATGCAAGTCTATATTCACTTTGAAGCGGAGGTGGGTCCACAGGGACGTGTGACAGTGCTTACTATCATGCAGCATTCAGGGGCCCTCCCTGGTACTGTTTTTATACAAAAGCTGAAACAGTCTGTAATTTGTTTGGTCTGTACACCACACACCCTCAGGTAACAACTGCTCTAAAGCCCCCCACGGCACGGGAGGGATGAGGAGTGGGCTTCCACCAGTACCGAGGTGCTCTGAGCCCCCAGGTGCTAACTCAGAATTCAGAAGACGCAGGTACCTCGTTTTTCTCGAGGCTGCATTCTGACATCACTTTATCTCCTTGCTCTTGGAAGGTGATGATGATTAACGCCACAAAGATGTTCACAAAGAAAAAAGGGAAGACAACAAAATACACCACGTAAAAGATAGACATTTCCATTCGGTAGCCAGGGCTGGGACCCTGTTCCTCGTAGGTAGCATCCACCGAGTGCTTCAGCACACTGCAATCAAGCGCAAAGAGAGAAGAAAAGTCAATGAAATCGGTATGAAGCACCGATGACACCCTGATAGTCACTCGCTGGCCTTCACTCACGTGCAGGGTTTTCCACATATGCTCAGGTCAAACTCACTCCCATCTCTATGGCTGGGAGGAAGTTTTCCTTGAGGATATTTCTAGGGAAGCCCTTGCTGGTTTCACCATTCTGCAGAATGATGGAGATTTGCTATGTACAGATCCACTTATCCCCCTGGCCAAGGGGAGAGGATACAGTTAGATCTGGCTTCTCTTCTCTGGTCAACAGGGATGAAGTAAGAGTGGGAAAAGAAAGGTATTGATGATCTCCGAGTAGGGGAACACAGTGAGGGACTGGAGAAGGGAGACTGATGCTGTATGTTTTATTCTTTATTTTATGAAATAGCTGAACATGGAGGACAGGGAAGGCCTGCCGTGGAGAAACCCTGACCGTGAATTGTACTCCACGTGTCCCAGCAGAAAAGTGTGCCAAAATAAAGTCACATGCTGAACAGGAAATATAATTTTGGGACTGTCATACCCAGCATACTTTCAGCATAGGTCACAATACTTTTTCCCCTCATTTTCTTACATTCCCATTATCAGTTTTACACTTGAGAAAGGCGTGCAGGTCCAAAAGACTGGAGCAAGCAAGCTACTAAGTACTGAAAACTGCCTAAGCATCCCTGTGCAAGCTCAGAAGAACATCGAGAAAAACACAGAGCCCTGCCTGCTGACTCACCCAATAATCACACAAGGGAAAGCAAAAGCTTAGCTGACGAAAGACTATTCTTATTTCATAGGTCGCCGGCCATTTACGCATCCCTCAGAGCTGTGGAAAGCCGCCGTTACCTCCGCGATCACTGACCCTGCCAGTCCCGTGTACTCACGTTGGCCACCCTTCGCCCGTGGAGACGGTGAAGAGTGTGAGCAGAGCCCAGAGCACGTTGTCGTAGTGGAACTCGTATTTTTTCCATTCCCTGGGCTGTGCCTCCACCTCATTTTTTTCATAATCGAGGTACTGACCCCTAGGAAAAACAGAGATTCAGACCAGATGAGAGAATTAAACCAAATCAGCCACTTCTTATGACTCACTGAGGAACATGGAAAAGCCCCAGTAGCAAAGTGCTATGTATTAGAGACAAATAAAGAGACAGCCCCTAGGTTTGTAACAGAAGTAAAGGCCATTTTCTGAGCCATTTTGAGCCACAGAAACTGGACCTGAGGTCTAGAAATGAAAGAAATTGTAATCAAGACATTCATCCATTAGGCAAAGCCAGCAATTAACAGCCCCCAAATTGTCTGACCCCACAGAAAACTGTGCTGCTTCCTCGAGAAAAGTCTCTGGCTCCTACTTCAGAGTTGGATCTAACTTCTAACTGGATCCTGCTTTGAGGGGCTGAGGGACCTGACATCTGGAGAGTTCCCCTCCAACCTACATTTTTCTATAACTTCACATTTCTTTCTGTAATATATCTGCGTTATTGCAAGGAAGAACTGCAGCGACAGCCTCCGTCGCTGCTGCGTGCACGCGGTCCCACTGGGGACGTGCCCTGCATCTGCAAGGCTGCCGGAGAGCCCTGCGTCTGCAAGGCTGCCGGAGAGGGGTAACGTGGGCAGACCCGGACAGTGCTGAGGGTGCGGTTTGGGTGCCAAGGAAAAAGGCAAGTGAAGACGACGCACATTGTGGTGAGTAAAGCACCTTGACAGTCTGCTGCAAAGGACAAAGCATGACAGGGCTTTTAAGATATTCAAATACCAACCCCTTTTCTAGCTAATTAGGAGCTCTTTAACTTCCTACCGACTCACTTCTGATTATTTATTCATTATGTTTTTCTAACTCATATGAGCACTAAGAATCAAGGCAGCACGTAGAAAAAGGAGTCAAGCCATCCCTTCAAAAACCCTTTACCTTAAAATCACAACTAGCCCTCCCTGGGAAAAGGAGCCTGCTCCCCTCTAGCATTAAATGTTTGGATAAGCATTTGCTAGATGACAGCCAGGATGCTGTCATCAATGCACCTATAAAAACAACAAAGGGGAAAATTCACCTCTAAGGCAATTGTGCTGAAGCATTGCTCTTACTTAGAGGAGACTCATTAAGCTCAGCAGATACCTGACTGATGCAGCTTTGGGACAGCCAAGGGAGCTGCTGCTGCCGCCAGCGGAAAGTCGGGATCCCCCCCACAGCCCCCGCCCATACCTGCAGTCCTTCTCCAGCTCCTTCGACTCATCGGTGCAGTAGAAGAATCTGCCTTTGAAGAGCTGCACAGCGATGACGGCAAAAATGAACATGAAGAGCATGTAGACTATGAGGATATTGAGGACGTTCTTCAGGGAATTCACCACGCAGTCAAAGACAGCCTGGGGACGGAGGAGAACAAGGTTAAGGGGTTGAAAGAAAAGTGCATCTAACCTGGTGACATCTAGCATCCAACTACACTTGGGAGTAATTACCCAACGTACAACCCATGGATGGTTTCATGGGCTTGCACAAGCGTTTGACCAAGTGCTTGACCAAGAGTCATGCTCCAGCTGTGAGAAATAACGCCGGCTTCCTACATCTCCTGCTTTCTCGGCAAGTTTGGCTGTGCCACTGAATTTTCTGGTGCTGCACGTAAAATTTATAAAGACAGTCGCAGCTCGTCGAGATAAATATTAGTCCTAAGCAATTATTTCCATGGCCAATTATGAAATGAAAAATGTACTTGTGTTCAATTTATTCCCAGTGGATAGGTAAAAACTCATCAAATACGTTACTTGTTGACCGTTACATGAACTGTTTGAATAATAAGGAAAATACACCAGATACAAAACAACCCAATGTTTCGAATAATATTTTTCTAATGAACTGTCTATTAAAATTAAGTGTGACTAATCTAGTCAGCATATGTCACTTCTGAAATCCCTGCAAAGAACTTCTCAAATACATTTATTATTTGGTTATTAGTCACTGATTCATTGTTACAAGTAATTTGCAGTTTAATTTTAGTCTGAGAAGTTTGTCATAATAATAGAAATTGAGCAGTCTTACTGCCCAAGCGCGGGGTTTGTACAATACTGTTCCTGTTTCTCTGAATGGAATTGAGTAATTCACAAAAATACACTCCTGATGCAACCCAGAAATCCTGAATTAAAACACTGGAAATATCTCTAATCACCCCATTAATCTTGCTGATTGTTGCACACAGGACCACATCCAGGGGAAAAAAAAAAATCGAAAGAATTTTGAAGACAAACCATATGAATATGACTTCTGCTTCACGTAAAGATTTCTGAATACTTCTTTAGAAGTGGTAAAGTTACTCTGTCAAATGGCTTGAAAATAAGGAAGACATTCAATAAAAAGCAAGCGTTCGGTGTCCTGCTGTAGGACTGAGCTACTGTTGACTGTTTTATGACTTAAGAGCGGTACATTTCAAATCTCTAAACAAATAAAGACTGTTTTCTACATTGTTCAACATTACTATTCCTTATCTTTTGAGGTAAATTTAGTATACATAAAAATGCATAAAATCGAAGTTATTTAAGCGTGAATTGTGGGTAAGGACAAAAGCAAATCTATATAACTGCTGCCCCCAATTTTTACGTGCCACTATGTGAAAACAGGAATTGTCAGACATAGTTTCACCCTTGCAAAAGCACCCATAGCTTTTTCCCCATCTCTCACAGAAAAGAGCCTGCAAGCAGTGATGCCACATGAAGGCATTCTACAATAGGTATTCAAGAGTTGCCAAAACTCAGAAATTATTAAATTTTATAAGTCCTTCCATTCTCTGCTTCCATGGGCTGGCTGTATCTCAAAGTGTTCATGAATTGGTGTTGAATAAGTAACCACAGGCCATTACGTTTATTTTACTTTGTAACTTAGTATTCTAGAGATGAAAGGGTACTGCTATAAAACCCTGCACTATATATTCTTTAATAGAAAAACTGAACAGATTAAAAGTCCTCATACAGCAATGACATTCCTCTTTAGACAGACTGTGGAAAATCTTGCAATATTCATGTTAAGTTCTCTAGGGAAAGTCAAACACTCCAAAACCTATTTTCTCCTATATCATTTCTAAGAGCATCACACTTATGAACTGTGATTTCATTTATTTCCATTTTTTTCTTTTCTTTTTTTAGAAGTTGGATTTTAATGTGGATTCACAATAATTCATAATATTGCACACAATGTTTGCAAAAGAAACAAGGGTTTGACATTTGCTAAACATCTGCACAGCTATTTTTATAAATCTGGCAAAGAGATTAATTGCAACAAAATAAAAGGAACAGAAATAACTTGGATTAAGTTTAGTCCATCAGCTTCCACTCAGATCAGTTGCAAACCTCCAGAGAAGGAAAGCTTTGTGGTTATTCTCTAACCTTTAGTTTTGGCAGCCGTTTAATGGTCTTCAGCGGTCTTAGGACCCGCAGAACTCGCAGTGACTTGATTGTGTTGATGTCCTTGCCTTTGGTTCCTCTGCAAGGGATAGAAGGCACAAGAACAACAGAGGGAATAGTTTGGTCCTCAGGTCACTAACTAGCATATCTATAGGCACCCAGCGTGGTTTTGGTTGTGGAACTGTTTTGGGTTTGGTGGTTTTTTTGGTTTTTTTTAACAGGTTTTGGGTGCCATCCTCACCATGGACACAGACAGTACGAGTGAGGACTGCGGATGAAGGCCCACTCGAGATGTGTTAATCACTGCACAGGAGGAGGGCTGTGGGCAGGACATGGTCCCTGCAGTGTTCAGCCACACGTGCTCTCCAGCCTTCGCTCACTTCCCAGCTACTCACCGAGCATCACCCAGGAACTGGAGACCTTCCTGCCCCAACTCCCCACCCAGGCAACGGTCAAAGCCAGGGCAGCAGCACGCCTCGGCTGCAGCCACCGGGAGAGGAGGCTCAGGACATTCATCCCAGCCCCAGGCAGAAGTGAGAAAGTCACACTTGGCTCTCCTCCCTCCCAGGCACCTGGGTGAGACAGGAGGGTGTTCCTCTGTGTGCTTCTTGCACTCCTCTGGCAGGGATGTTTTGTCGCGACAAGCAGACAGTGACCAGAGGGAACTGGAGCCTTCATGGTGAGGGACAGAGCTCTCCTGGGGATGAGAGCTGCTCCATGCCCGTACCCTCATCCTCGAGTCTCTCTTGGAAGACATGCTACCAAACCCATGTGGGAACATGTAATATGATGGCATATTACATGCCTGGAACAGTGCTAGGGCATGCAGGTGCTGTAAGTCACTAAAGTCATGTGACTTTAGTTTTCGTTAAAACTGAGTGCAAGACTCGAGACCATTCCTCTTGTTATCATTAAGAGGTTTTTAGGGGAAGGACAGAGTTCCTTTCCTCGTGCACTTCCAAAATAAATAAAAAAAGACACAGTTACTTCTTCTTCCAACCCCACAGCAAAACAATGACATTCCCCTTCATTTCGTATGAAGTGAAAAATGGGATGAAAATCTTTAACAGAGTTTTATTCATGACTATAGGTTTGGGTCTGAGACTGTATTGAAGTAACACGGATGTGAATGAATAACATGTTAACAGATGCTGCTACAGCTGTTCTATGCTCTTGCAGTTTGCTAACCATTTCTCTTCTCCAGCAGGAAAGCAATAGAAATACAAGAAACTCGAGAGACCCACAAGAGGTACGTGTAGGTAGTGGACTGCAAAGCTTCCCCCACCCTGCTAGCAGCCAGCCCTATGCACTACGCTAAGGGATAAGCACCCAGAGCGGAGGAAACCACCCAGTTTAGTGGCTGGCTGACCTTGCTCAGCCCTGGAAGGTGTCTTTTTGCAATCTATCCACTTCTAAAAGACTAATAACTCAGTACTAATACTGTACTACTCAATACTAACACTGGACTGGAATCTGCAATCTAGAAACACATTCCTGTCTCATCTCCAGTCTCTTTCTCCAATTACCAGTCACTGCAGTTGTCCTGAAATGCAATAAGCAGTGAGACACAAGGAATTTTTGGAGGGCCATGGGTTGCATCCTAATGACTTATACGTTGAACACGAGTTGCCTTTGCACATGATTTAACTGAAATGGAGAAGAGGAGAAACAGGATGGAGATTTATCTATCCTCTCCCTATCTCGTTTTTCAGGGCTGCGTTAGTGCCATTTTATTCAGCCGCAGATAGATCCTGACTGCTGGCACGGCTGTAAATCCAGGTGATTGAGCTAAAACTCATGGAGTTACAGGACTGATTTAATGCCACAAAATAATTATTATATATTTAAAATAAATCATTTTTGACTCTCATTAGAGACCCCTTAATCTGGTCGAGATGAAGCAGACACTGCCAACATAGCTTTTACTGGCTTTCTCTTCAGGTTTTAGCATAACTGAAGAGCTGGCCCATGTTTGGCTTTGCATACTTGCTTTCAGATCACCAACTCCTAGCAAGCAACGATCCTGCCATGGTCACTGCACCCATCTCCTTGTCACCATAGCCTCCAGCTGAGTAAGCCAAACTGGAGCTCACCTACTCCCCAGGCAGCTTTGTCTGATCCTTAGCAATGCCTTGGCTGCAAAACAATTTATTCAGCCTTTTAAGGAGGACAGTCAGTGGCAGGAGGGAAGTAGAAGGGGAAACAGGTTACCAGGAAGGAGATACCACCTGGCTTGGCTAGCCAGCCTGTCCCCATGGCTGATGGTCACCCAGCACATGCCCGTCACCTTGGCTGCCCTTGCTGCCCCCTCCACCTTCTCCCCTCTGGAAGGCCAAGCAAATGCTCAGGTTGCTCCATGTTGCCCAGCCTTTTGGGGTTTAACTAGATGAGGAAGCCAGGGCAGAGAGGGTGAAGAGGTAGGAGCTGAGGAAAATAGAGGTAAGAAAAGAGTGAAGGTGAGAGGGTCACCCAGCACATGCCCGTCACCTTGGCTGCCCTTGCTGCCCCCTCCACCTTCTCCCCTCTGGAAGGCCAAGCAAATGCTCAGGTTGCTCCATGTTGCCCAGCCTTTTGGGGTTTAACTAGATGAGGAAGCCAGGGCAGAGAGGGTGAAGAGGTAGGAGCTGAGGAAAATAGAGGTAAGAAAAGAGTGAAGGTGAGAGGGTCAAGGGACATGTGGTTGGGGCAGTAGGAGAAAGAAAGAGGTGGGATACCTTGGCCCAGAACTATATTCAATTCTTGTTCATTTGTGGCCACGTTTCTGGTTTGCAGATTAACACACACAGGTAGCAGGTACACTGGCAGGTAGCAACTGAACTACATTGCCTCAGCAGTCCTCACCTGGGTTCAAGCAGAACCAGAGAATATTTCTGCATGTCAGGAGACCTAAACATCTATTTACTACGCTGCCGTGCATCTGTGCTAAATAACAACTGTACTAATAAGGGCTCCTGGAAGGGAAGTTCAGGACGAGAACAGAGACACTTCTCAGCTCTGAAGGAGCTAGCTTAGGTCTCACAGAGCTGGCTCCAAGCCTGAAGCAACAACCTCTGTGGACTTAATATTTCTAGGAAGGTTAAACAGACCTACTGGGGACTAGTGAATAGGTGGGACCGCGCAAATCCTTCCTCCTGGGTCTATGAGAGAAGAAGCTGTTTTTGCCTCACATGGGGAGGCATGTGGATGACTGCACTGAGAGCCTGGAGGTAAAGGGCAGACAGCTCCAGTCCCACAAAATTCCTTCTGCCTGAATGGAGGATACTAAGAAGGGTCGATTATTTTCTTTTTTTTCAGTCACCTAAGCAAATAAAGAGCGTGAGCCAATTAAATGTTAATGGGATTTATGATCTAAGTCATATAGAGAATCCTGAAAAATCATACTTATTTCTTGTCACAGTAAGGTTCCTGCTGTAGGAGAAAGCTTTTTCAACAGACTGGTACTCTGAACTAGAGTGATGCAAATTGCATTTTAATTAAATGGGTCTTCTGCAACTATTTCAGCCTGTCAAATAAAACCTTAAGGGTTGTTTTTGGTGTTTTTAAGAAACCCCTCTACCAATACTGTTTTTTACAGTACTCTACAAAGCCAGATGTCCCACAAAATAGAAGGTCCAGATGGAACTAGGATTCAGTCAAAATGTGTATACAAGCACGCATTTGACCAGAATATTTCTCACAACAAAATATATTGTTATGGAAGGACAAGATCTTAGGTGACTGCAGAATAACACCTACAAAATTCAGACAAGCTACAGAAGAGCAAGCAGGATAAAGACAGACAGCGAACAGAAGCCCAATGACTTAAAAAAGAAAAAACACCACGAAGAAAAAAATTGCATTAGGTCAATTCTGGTTACATTAGGCCAGTTCTGTTTTTTCTGGGGCAGTTCGCTGCTCATTTGTTTAAAACATTAAAAATATCTTAGAAGAGTTTTGCATGGCCTTTCTTCCTTTAATAAATAAAAGGTCCTTTAAAAAATTAATAGTTCTTTAAAATGGAAGCTTCTTGTTTCTCTTGCTTCTGCCAGCAGCTCTGATTTCATGTAACATGGGTCTTTTAGAATCATGTCGTCAAATATTCAGAATAGGGTGGAGTCACCACCTTCTGCAGTTGCCTGAAATCCCCAAGGCAGAAAGTGAATTCCTCCACGGAAGAGTAAATGAGGTCATGCAACGCTGCCCAAGCACAAAGCCACCCTCTTCCAGGGTCTAAATGATCTGGTTTCCTAGACAGAAGAAAGAAACAAGTACCCAATTTCCTGGAGCACATCGAAGACCTTTCTTTGCATCCTTTTCATTGCATCCCTGGGTTATCTGCTGCAGAGGAGGCCCCCCGAGTTCCTGTCCTGCTTGGAACTGCAGCGTGAGACGATGCAGCTCTACCTCCCCCTCCGTCCCCAAAGCAAAGCTGCGCTGTACCACACCAACGACAAAACTGCCACCTCCTTGCAGATGCAACTTTTGCTACCTCCTTCTTTACAAATGGCCCCTGCCAACCTCTCGAAAAGATCTCTACCCCCTGTTTTCATGTCAAAGACTTTTCACCTATGTCAGAGGCTGACAGCCTGAATCCCAGCTGGGTCGCATTGCCCAGACTGCACAAAATTAGTCCTGAAGCTTCCAGCACTGCTAATGCAGTTTAGAGGTGCAATCCTGTGAACGAGAATAAAATTGCTTCTTTAAACCTAGTTATTAAGATTTTCATGAATTGCAATTTACACATTAACGATGTACCCACTAAGTCATCCCCTCAAGTCTTTTTGGTACAAATATATCTGCTTATCATGGTTTCTGACTCTGGCCTACTTGGCTTTCTAGTCTGCTTCTCTCCTCTGCTTAAAGAAAATTAGGATGAATGAAGATTGTTAAGGGAAAATACGTTTCGCTGAACAATGAGTAATAAAGGGACAAAGGAGTCGATGCAATGGGTGTAACATGGTTCGTTTCCACAGTGGCAAGTGTGTGTACACGTTTGACAGGCATAACAGTGCAGCAAGAGACAGGAATAACATATTACCCCATGAAACTCCTAGAGAGAGATTCCAGCAAGAAGAAGACAAAGAAAGAGCAGAGTCAATGACAAACAGAAACATAAGGCTATACAGTGCACCCCATGCACATACAGATATGTGCTGGCAGATAATCCCATCCCCTGTCCCACACCCACCAACTCAACGTTCATAAAAATAAACAAGCAAGGAAGCAACATATTGGCTATACAGCATATACCCACACATCCCCCCATGGTGCATCAGCCCTTCGACTGACAAGCAGACAGGGCAAATAGACCTTCATCCTCCTGACACTTTGGGAGGTAATAACCTTGACCGTTTGGCAAATGCTGTTTGCTTTTTCAAAGAGCAGTGTGGAATTCTGTGCATCTCAGCCGCCTTTCTGTTGTTGAAAATGTAAAAATGCAATCTCTTTGCTGCTATTCATCAGCTATTTCTATTGAGCAAGTACATTTTACACCTGGGGCTGATAAACTTCGATGACAAATTTGCTAGTTTGCTTTAAGCTCCTCTACTTCTATTTCCCTAAAGACTAAAACATGTCTGCATGTTTGTGGCATGTTTATCTCTAGAAAAAGAAATACATTGCTAAATGGAAGACATTATTTTATCATCATCATCCGTATTATTAATGTTTCTAGCATCTCACTAGGGGCCTTGTTTTATATTTTTTTCTTTTTTTAACTACAGTCAAGCACAGAACAGCTTCTAAAGAGCTACAGGCAGAAAGTAGACTGATAGCTGGTTTGAGAGGCTGAGGTGGATTCTATGAACCTTGCAGCAATGACTGATACCATCTCGTGTGCCTAAACAAACATAGGCTGTTGCAATATTCCAGATGGAAGTGTTTCAGGGAGCTCTGTTTTTTCCTAGGTTTTCAGTGACATGTCTATTCAGCAAGAAGTTGATTCACATCACCTTCACTGGACACCAACGAGGTCAAGAACATGCATGAATTAAATCACACCCACTGAGAGGCAATCGTGTATTCTTGCAATCAGAAGCTGGTAACAGCCACATTAAATACATTTTTACAGTGACAGGGATGATGAGTGACAGGACTGTAGTGTTTGCAAGAAAAAGCCCACTAACAAAACAATGAAGATTACCCAGTTTACTCTCCAAAAGCTCATTTTCAGAATTATCAAAATTCAGCAGACTTGGTGCATCCATCTGGTTTAACCAAACAATGCAGTTGAGCTAAGGACATGACTATCTACCCAATTTTCATCTGAGCAGTCTGAGACTTGTTAGTATTCATAACTGAACTAGTGGGAACAGAGAGCAAGTCATCTCCTACGAATGCCTGGATTTCCTGCTCTCAGGTTAGACCAGAAATACTGCAAGAATTCTCTGAATTGGACGTCAACACTCACTGCCTGCTGAAACATGGACATGTAGCAGAGGTTACAGTCATCATAAAAATCACAGAAGAAATTCAAATTTTTCCAAGTCTCAGAACTAGATTTGACTTGCTTTAATCTGGGAGACAGTAAATAGGCAGGCAGGTTTTATGTATTCGGTTTCTGTAAATCCCTGCTCAGCACTTACTCAAAGAGTATGTAAAATAGAAGCAGCTTGGGGCACACTATTATGAAGCACAGGCAGGGGATGTACAAGTAATTTATTTAGAGGCTGATGAGGTGCTGTTAGATATTCATAGCCCAATGCAAGCAATAGAAAAACTTGAGCACAAAAAGACTCAGAAAGATTAAAAATTATTCATTTTAATCCATAACTTGTCCAAAAGAAAATTTTGTTCAAAGAGAAGATGTTTTAAAGGCAAACCCTAATGTTTGTTCTCACAGCACAGAGAGTTGCTCTGAAGGGCTCACAAAATGCCCCTTCTCCCAGTCTGCCTTGAAAGTTTGAATTCTTAATGGAAAAGGGAAATTCTCAGTGAACAACAGACTTGGATAATATTGTTTTGCAAACTAATACTTGTGACTAATATTATTTTACTTTTATACCTCTTTTCAATCCAGAGGAGCTCCGTTAACTTGTTAAACTTTTTTAGTAAGTTTTTGCTTAACTTGTTCTGACCACATCCAGTTTCTGAAAGATGTTACGCTAATATATTTCACGTGCAGGGAAATTAAGCCACACACATGTCTAGTCAAGCTTAAAAAGCAGCCTGGATGTCAAATTTTAGGTGACCAGACCAGACCAGCAATTCCATCTCAACACAACCTTGCTTACAAACAGAGTGCTCAGCCTCTCTGAAAAACAAATTTCTAATGAACAGGGACAAAGTCTTTAAAAAGGGGAGGGCAGCATCCCTTTGAAAAACTTACATTGGACATGACTTGCTCCAAGATCTAAACAATTCTTTGGTGTAGGATTGGGCACAGAAAGCTCAGACCCCGATATCCCCAAGTGTCAGTCCTCAACTGGCTCAAAAATCATACCAACGATGTCAATCCCATCTCCTTCTATCCATCCACTCCTTGGTCAAATTAGCTTTTTTTATCCAGCATTTGCTATGAAGAATAGAAGATCTAAAATACAAATCTCACAGCCTTAATGTGAAAGGAATTTTGACACCTCAGAAAATGAAAAAATCCTGAGAAATATTCCAGACTAACCTTACCAGAAAGGTTCCAGTAACTTTTTGTGCTGCAAGGGACATGGCAGTATTTTTCATCAGCAGAGCACGTAAGAGGAGCAATGGATTCAGCTGTCTGCCTAAAAATTGCTGTCAGTCTAAAATATACAGGACACGCTTCCGCAGCTCCTTGGCAAAGGCGAATGCTTTTTCTCATTAGCAAGTAAAACACTGCTAATTTCTTCACCTTCTCTAATCATCATGTCAACGAACAGGTGAGTGGAGTTTGGGCATGGACTGCTACATGTTCACTGTAATTACTCACGGCTAATTTAGCAGAAGATTAAACTGGCCAAGTCCTGTAGCCTGTTTCCAGGTAATCTCCTAGAATTTCTCAGGAAAACATTTGCAATACAGTTATTCCGTGGCCCAGAACTACACATGGAAAATTTCTTTCCATCATCTAACTCTGAGCTTCCCAAGTTTTGAAGAACCTGCATTGCTCTTCCTCTGGTCTCTTCTGAGAAAAATGCTCAAATGAAAAGTTAATCTTCATTTTTAAAAAGCAATTCCTCTTTGTCTGTTGCTCAAAATCCTCCATGACATTAAAGAAGCACACAGAACATTATTTAATGTCATAAATAGAGAGCTGTGACTGAGGGAGGGAGCAATTAGCCTTAGAAGTGAAACTCTCTGAAGTGCAAGTACCCTGAATGAGAGAGGAAGAGGAGAGAGAAATACCAAAGGTATATGAACCAGAAATATCCATAACTCTAGAAACAATGTTTTGTAAAGAGTTCACTGAGTTATCAGCTGATTTCATTAACTATTTTTGCATAGTAAGGACAATTTTTAAAACAATTGCCTGAAGACACTGGACTGCCACAAACTGTTACAAGGTGTCCTTGAAAATAAGTTGCCCAAACGGTCACAAAAATCTTGGCTTAATGTTTGAATAAACAGTGAATAGTCTTACCCTAAAGCTGGGAGAATTTTCAAGAGATTCTACAACACAAATTTAGGGATTTTTTTTTTTTTCTTCCCCCCCCAGCTACAAGATGATAAAGGGCAGAAACTGAACATTTCACTGAGAAATGGAGCCACACGCTCTATGCTTCAACTAGCTCTGGGCCAGGGTCCTGCCTCCTCTGCAACTTATTTCCTAGAAATTGGGAAAATGTACTTACGAGAAGGCAAATGCCACCAAGGCCCCACTGACCACAATGAAGTCCAGGATATTCCACAGGTCACGGAAGTAGGAGCCAGGGTGGAGTAACAGCCCCAAGTCAATCATCTTCAGAGAAAACACATGAAAAGAAAGAGTTTTAATAAAACAAGTACCAAACCAACACTACCGAGGTACAGAGGAACGTCCCTGACCAAATGACCCTTCACAAACTTTTCTTCAGGGCTTCACAGCAGCAGGGCAACATCCAGATACTTAGTCAAGCTGCTCACCTCTAACAGGCACAGAGAGCTCTGTCAAAACCGAAGCTGAAGTCAATAAACCGTAACCAAAACCATGAGAGACAAGGGTACTAACTGCTACATAGGATTCTTTGCACAGACATGCATTAATTCATGGGAACAGCAGTCTGTGTGTGGAACAGCCAAATAGTTTAATTTTATTCTACCCCAATCCTACCAGATTAGTAGGAATTAACAACTGGCATAGGATATTACACAATAAAACACAAAGAGAGGGTGGGAAGACCCACAGTCAAATGCAACAGTCAAAGAAATACACCTGCTCCAGAGCACTTGCTGAAAGATGCTGCTCAGCGTAGCAGCCTGGCTTGCTTCTGCCCGAGGCTGAGTCTCCCCGTACAATGCTGCTGAAGATCTTCTACTGTTGAGTCTCAAAGTGCATGCTAGACATGTTATCTGTTTTCCTAAGAGCTCTATAACTGCCCACGTAAGGTTGCTTTCCTCACATAGCTTCAAATCCTTCTACTGAACGAACAAGGGAAAACCTCTTTTTTATTCTGCATCTCTTTTGCATCTTGCTCTGACACTAAAAACTAACTCCATCATTACCCCAAGAATAAATCCTGACTTTATTAGAATTGTGCTTTCTGGAAAGTTACTGCCCCACAGTCTTAGCAAAACATATCACCCTACTGAGTAAAGTAAAAAGATAAATCCTCAACTTTTTGAAACATGACAGACCGAGAATCAGTTGCTATTAATACTCCTGATCAGCGTCAAAGGAAAAGGGAAGAATCAGACGTGTCTCAGTAAGGTCTATCAGCTCCCGTGTCCTTAGCCACGCACAGACATTTCTGCATCAGGCACTCATTTCTTATCCTCTTACACAACCACAGCTACTAAAGATATCCTTATTTTCTTCCATAAAATGTGAGATTAAAGAAACCAGGAGAGCCGCTCCAGAAAGGTATCTGTTGTGCACTGGCTACTTCTGAGTGCTGTTCCCGAGTTAAAGCTTTCCATCATCACCACCTCTCCAGGCACCCCAGGGAGCTCTGTCATGCTCCACCCTCTTTCTCCAGCTTCCCAGAAGTAGGAGAGTGTAAATCCGAAAGGGGAGGTGAACCTTTCTGCCTGGAAAAATTCTTACCTTGATCACCATCTCAAAGGTAAAGACACCCGTAAATATATAATCCAAGTATTTCAGAGCCTAAATGGGAAAGAGAAATGCTTATTAGGGGAGACTACACACTGAAATAATCTGCACATGAGCAAAGAGCAAAAAGTCTATTCTAGCATGGTCTATTTGCTACAATGGGTTAAGTGTCATCTGATGGGAGGCTTTCAAATTGTTTAGGTACAAACTTGAATCATCTGATTTAAACAGCAACGTTTTTTCCAGTGTAAGCATGCCCATGGGTTGCTTCAGTGCACCTACACATATGGTAGGTTTAATAGGGCTAAATGGATACTTCAAATCAAAATATTTAAATATCCTTTCCTAAAGAGCTTATCTGCAGCATCTGTGTAGCAGCCTGGGTTTCTCTTCTGCTGTAGCTGATGATAGTATTACTAAAGACCTTGGGAGAGTAAGAAAGTGATAAAATCCTTTTTGTAAAACTGATTCCACAGTTATTAAGGATGAGGAAGAAAGATTACTCGTAGCTACTTCAGCTCATTACTGATATAGGGATTCGTGGATCATCCTCTGGGAAAAGCTAATACCGACCAGATTCAGGCAATTCCTGCTCTGACCTGGTCTGCCGACTCGTGCTCTGAAGCAATTTGGTTTCTTAATCTGTTTAAGGGGTGGATGAACACAGACTCCTCAGTACACATCCTGGTAAATGCAATACCAGTCCATTCAAATATCTATAGATCTCCTAAATTTTAACATAATTCTGTGGCTGGGATGCACCTATTCACAGTCAGATTCATATGATTATACATAGTGAATGGATATTAAGTCAATATAAATATCACATGAGATCCACATACTGCAACTATCTACACGGAAGAGTCCAAAATTAGGCAATTTCTATACTTAATCTTCAGTTCTGTAGACTTCCCGTTGTCCATGTAACTGTCACCAGCTCTGTGCCAATGTCCTCATGTGAATGTGCTTGAAAAAAGACACCCAGCTATCTGCTTCATGAACGCTCCTGGGCTGCATGCTCTCACGTAAAAGGTGGCACACTCCTACTTCTGCTCATAACAGCACCCATCTATGAAGTCTCCGAGTTTGGTTTGACACCCATGGATAAATAGATTTTCTACTAATTCTAAGAGATTGACACCAAGCCCCACCAAGATAAAAAGCCACATCTGGTTTTACTTCCTCAGGCTCTGCTCTAGCAGGAGCAGGGGATCTTAGGACAATGTCAGCCCTGGCTTGTGACTGGGGAAGCCTTTCCCATTCCTGAATGGTGTGTAAGCTTTGCAGGCTTCTTCCACGGGAGTCACACCAGCCAAACCACCAGTGATTTCCAAGTTCTCAAACTCAGATGTGGTTGAAGCAGCAGAAAGGGAGAGGAATTGTGAGCATTTTGATAGTGGAACAAGCTATTTTGAGTATGTTATTAAAGAAAGATCCAGTTTTGCACTTGCCAGTGCACCGTGTTATCCTTTGGCGATGGGAATGGACATGCCATGTGCATAACTGCTGGGAGAAGCAGAACAACTTTATTCTGGCCATGTCGGTTGGTACTCACATCATTCCTCGGTGACTCGGCTTGGACAGGGTCTTCTGCAGCCAGGGCAATGCTGCTGAGGGCTATAACTATGAGGATGACCATCTCGAAATAGCGCAAGTTGACAATGTAGTGGAACAGACGTCGAATCCTGCAAACAACGTAAGGAGATAAGAGGGCTATTACAGGTGCTGTAAGTCAAGTGCTGTGGTATGAAAGACTGGCAGAAGGACAACGTTCATCAGGAACATCACTTTTAGGATTCCTAATACAATAATGCTAAGAAGATAAAAACTAGGATTAATAGCTTTAAACTCCAGTTTGTAACAGATCTGTGGTGAGATTTAAAGACATTTAACATCTCTGCACTGCTCTCTACGCCCTCTGCAAAGCAATGACATCCATCTATCTATGAAAAGGGCATTGAGAGCTTTCAAGCATTCGGACTCAATTCTACAAATTATGTTTATATACCCCCCAATCCTTTTCACTTTGAACTCATAGGCTAAAGTCCAGAGAGTTCAAAATTAGTTCTGAAACCCTTTTAATATCAACTAATCCCTTTAAAATTCAGATATATGCTATGGACTGTGACACACAGCTTAAACCGGCTTCGTAACTATGAGTATTACTTCTAGCAGTCTCTCTCTTGCCAAGTACCTCTGCCTGCACTTTGTTCTAAGCTATGCTTTATACGCTGCACAAATACTTTACAGTAATGTATTTGACTATTTTAACCTAATCTTTTTCTTCACAAATTGTGTCCAAGAAAAGTGACAAATGCTTCAATTTCTAAGCAATGCAAAACTATTCACAAATTTCAGCTAATAACTCTATCTGACCACAACTCACAAATACTTAACTTCACAGAAAACTCTACATTTGCACCGTATTTGTCAGCTGAATAAAGGACTTAGATTCTGCCTGAGAATCAAATTATATCTGTAACTTGCCAACAATCTTGTTATCTGAGAATGTAATTTAGTTACTATATCACATTTTCTCTAAGCAAATATCTGAATTGTGAGAATTAAAATTTATTTTTCACATCCACTTATAGACTCATTTTCTCTGGATTGCTAATGGATTCAGAATGAAAAAGAGTTACAAATAGCAAGGCAACAGATTTGATACAAAATAACACGAAGAAAAGTGCTTTTGTGGATCCCTTAACTCCAGTTATCAATCTGACGGAAGAGGAGTATCATCTATGTGCTCTATGAATCCATAGAAGTGAAAGGCAACACTTTCAATAACATTTGTAACTGTAATTCATGCATCAAACTCAATTCATCAAAGAAATAACAAGTCCCTATTTTTAGATCTTCATCATTCATAACCAGCAGTGAGATGCGGGAGCATTTGTAAACTGCCAGTGGTTTTTCAATGCATGTCTGTTTTAAGAGGGTGGGTGGCACTTGGGAAGTAATACATTTCATTTATGCTTCTGGGAACTGTTTTGCTCACTAGCAGCACCTGGGTCACGCATCCCCAGGTGATGTCGGGACCGTCTAGCTTCCCACTCTGCACTGCTGCCCTTAGCATTTTGCAGCTAACACTTATTTTTGGTGGTCACTCCACAACAAAAAGACGTGAGCTACCAAATACGAGGGAAACACTGTTTCCCTATCCAACCAGACAGGGGCCAAGCTCCATAATTCCAATTTGCCCCAGAAAGTATAATTACACCGTGAGTGCACCTCATCTAACGCACTCTCCTCCCCTTAGCTGCCTTTTACGTGAATTCAAAGGACATGTTGCCTTATCTGAAATAGCACAATGCTATGACGGTGTTCTGAAAAGGGAAAACTTCCTGGGCTTTCGGCTTGGTTATCCTAAAGATCTACCTGGAGAAGGCAAAGGGGAAACACAAGTCTCTCTCTTGTGGGTTTGAGACAGAAGGGGCACGTATTGAGTCTTCAGTTCACTTCCTTCGTAGATGAGATGAGACTAGCAGTAGTTTGGGGTCATTCTCCCTCTCTAACGGCTGGCATTGAGAGATAGTCTCTAACTTCTCCCACTGATGAATTCCTTCTCTGCTCACAGCTATATCATGTCGGAGCATGCAGGGCTGTAGCCTGAACTACACAGCTGGCACTTGTGTTTAAAGAAAGTATTCAGCCTGCCTACTGCCCAGGGGTGCCAGGCCATGGCTTCCACCACAGATGTATTTCTGATGGCAAAGATGAGTACACGGAGCAGCCTGTTTTTGTTCCACTGACTGCATAGGCAGCCAGGATGTCACAGTCCTGAGTAGCAGGAGGTGAGGAGCACTCATTCTTCTCTTGAATCAAGTTGCCAAAGGAAGAGCATGAGTCCACCTTAGGTATCTCAGCATGCAGAGTACAACCTCAAAGAGCAACATCTAGGATCTGCAACAAGTCTACCTGAGCCAGAGAGGAACGATCACATCTGTTCCTAGCAGATCTCTGGGTTGGCAGAAGTTTCAAATGCCCTCCATTGCCCTAAGTTACTGCTTAAAATGACTCACAGGCCTTCGTGCTACAATTATTACAACCCCTGCTGCTCTTGTCTAGTCCTGCAGCCCTTCAGAGCGACATGTTCCGTATTTACAGGCTTTGAGTACAAAGCTCCCCATGAGGCAGAGATGCCTGAAGCGGAAGAAATGCTGTAATCCCAACAGATCCCACAGGCTGTATTCTCAACCTTGGCAAATGAAAAATATTCACGTTTTCTCAGAAGTTCAAAGTTTTCAGTGATGCGAGGGTACTAGTATGGAAAGAGCACAAATTCCAGCTGAGGAACCTGCAAGAATTTGCTGACATTAAAAACAGCCCCCAACCTGCTTGTCCTGATGATGTCTTCTCCCAGTGACAGTCCATACTCCCACCCTTTAGTGATCTACGACTGAGCAAATAACTGCCCACCTGACGGTCAGCAGGGCAGTTAAGAAGGGTCTGCCTAATGCATCATCTTTTCCCTATCCTGGCAATTTATTCCCCCAGCAAAGCCCAGCTGAAAGGCAGCATCTGGTCTGCAGCCTACATAAGCTTTTATTTCATTTCCCAATGCGTTTGACTGCAGAGATGAAGATCAAGCTAATGTTACCGCTTTGAATACCCATGCTTGAAGTACCTGTAACCCATGAGTGGTATTATAGAGCCAGAGGACTTACGGATTTGTAGGACTTAGGATAAACATGGAACTGTAAGGCAAGATTGGTTTAGGCCCATTTTTCGTCAAGTCATCGACGTCTTTCTTCTCCTCTGATTTACTTTCAAATTCAACGTTGTTCACTGAAATGTGAATTTAAGGAAACAGAAACGAGAGAGTTAAAAATGTATCTGCAGTCTTCACACAGCAGGCTGCCTGCAACAGCTGGATATGCAAACAATGCAGCTGGGATAGCAAACAGCCTTTGAATATGTTGATTAAATGTGATGAACAATCATTTGATTATTATCACTGCTATTTACTACAGTATGATATACACTGCAATTATACTCCTTAACTGCTGCACTGATGAGCAATATATCAGAATGGCCAGGAAATGAAGATGCCCAGTGCAGACAAACAAATAAACCTTACACTTACTTATACAAGAGCTGCCAAACTGGGCATGGAAATCCCATTCCAAATAGCATAAATTATTAGGGAGAGAGGATCAGCTAGGGATCCTTGGAGATTAAAAAAGACAGTAAGTCTAACCAACCGCATAATTCTGTATCTTCTCCCGTAGATCAGTAGCAAGATTGGCTTTGGAACATGTAAAAGAGCAAATTCATAGATGAGCTTAAATAATTTTGGGGCTAAGACTGCTGAACTTCCCAGCATTAGGAACAGAGACTTGGAAGGGACTTCTTGGACCCCCCAGCTCTGTGCCTGCACAGTGCACCCCAGTTTTGGCAGAGCTCCCCATCTATAAAGGTGTCGAGCCCCATCTCACATCAGGTTTTTAACTTACATGATCCCCTTCTAGAAGATTGCTCTGCACCTCACTCCCAAAGGTTAGAAATACATTCTCTAATTTCCATCATAAGTTTGCTTGCAGTGGGTTTCTAGGATAATTTACTTAAGATAATGTCCAATGTATGAACTGGAAAACATTTTATGCTGCAAATTCTCTTCTTATACAGATACATACATTTGTCTATTAATTCACAGGACCTAGAATCCAAAACCCCCACCCACTTATAAAATGTTAGGTGCGTGGTTTTTATTACTTTTTATTTTATTTTGCAACAAAATGACATTTCGTTGCATGTGAGTGACATGTTCAATAAAATCCTTATTGTATCTCAGGCCAGATACACAAGAAATGGCCAGGAAAGAGAGCAGGTGATAAATTGTGATTGATAGGAACTCAGTATTGCAATTATAGTAAAATTACCATTTAAGAAAAAAGGATGAGAGAAAAAAAGAAAAGACAAGTCTTGTGTGGCTGACAACACAGTGAAAAAGCACGTAGAGGAACCACTAGCTTTTGGCTGTGCCTATTGGAAAGCAGAGTCCTGACAGCCTGCAATCTGATGTGGACCTCTTAGATTTCACACTGCAATTCCCCTTGGCACCCCCAGCTCTCGAGACTTGTCTAGGCTGTGCCTACACTGCCAGGGATGAGCCACAAGCTGGTCAGAACGGGCTGGTGGCTGCAGAGCAGACCATGGGCACAATGATCTTGGGATAGTCTGCAAAACAGTGTAAATTTACGTTGACAGAGCCAAGGCACAGAGCTCTGGAAAAGGACAAGCTAGGGTGGATCTGCTGAAACCGAGATGCAGAGGATTGCAAGAAGTTCTAAAATTACACAGCCCGCAGGAACCCACAGCAGCAGGGTCACACGACGGATGCTGTGATAGCTGTGCAGCCATGAAAGACCTGCTGCTCCACAGTGGGGTCAGCTAATAAGCCAAGCAGCATGAATTTGTCTGTGGGCTTGAATGCAATGCCACTGCCTCCCCTGTCCTTTCCTGAGGCGTCTGTGGCCAGGCAGGCCCCTGGGACACCAGAAGAACCATAGCACAGCGCTGTTGGAGTAGGCGCTTGCAGCACGGCAGCAGAGGAAGCTGATAAAGCAGAAGACCTACTCCTGCGCTCACAAGAACGTCTTGACTGGTTTGCTGCAGAAGTTGCTTATTTTGCTGCACAGCTCTCAGTTATTACATTTTGCTGTTTTTCTTGTTCCTTCATCTTTCTCTTACGCAAAGATACATGGATGTGCTCTGGGTGAGCCATCTCCAGGGAACCTTACGTGGTGTTTTCCAGAGCCACCAGGTGACCCAGGAACCCATTTTAGGTTCCTGCAGGCTGCGTGAATCGTAGAGCCTATATCAACAACAAGTTCTCCCGTCCACTTATTGCAAGGATTCGCTGGTGGCCAGGAGACCCCGCACCACCCAGTGTGTGCTGCTAGCTCCTTGGAAAGTTAGCTCTTTTCTGGCAATTTCATAGCAAAAAGCAGAGGGACAAAGGCACTCACTTGGTATGACAGTGGTTTCCCCCGGCGGGGCAGTGATAGTGACAGGGATGTTCACAGTGGTGGTTTTGTCCAGAGGTGGCTGAATCATCCGCGTCACGTTCTTCTGGTTGTCAGCATCTTCTGGCTGCTCCGGCACTTTCTGCAGATAGGTGCTGGGAAGGGTGTGCACAGGGACACTCACACTTCCACTAGCCTCAATCTCACACTGATTCTCCCTAAGGTAGAAAAGCAGATTTTATTAAATACGGCCCAAGAAGGATTCAGAGAACGTATGTACCCTGATGCTGCACCTCCTGCTGGGTGTCATAGACTGTTTTCTTCATGGAAGTCCTTTGCAGAAAAGTCACGGACTGCAGGACAACTTATTGATGGCACAGTATGTGACCTTTTCCTCCAAGACCTTCTGAACCAACATCCAAGCGCAACATTAAGAGGAACTGCGCCACTGAACGCCACTTTATTCAATTTAATGAGACTCGGAACTGAGGTTCATAAGCGAGGACCACATGGCATTTGCATGTAACAGTGACATTAGCTTTCCAGCATCAGCTGGTTTCTGAATGAAGTCTGACATTCTGCTTCTTAATGTTCTCCTGAGGCCTTATTTAAAATTTGGTGATTCTCTTTTCTAGTCCTAAACAACTCTGTAACATTGCTGTAAGCGGCTAAATAGCTTCTGCATTCCTCTGCAGCAGTGGCTATATTTCAGTGAGGAGGAAAGTGAGCTCGTGCACATGATCAAACTGAACAGTATGCAAAGTGTTTTGAAATCCATCTGAAAGGAAGATAATATAGACAGGAAAATTATTATCTCAGTGCCACTCACAGCTCTCCACGGTGACATGAACTCTATTCAAAAGAATCCCAGTGAAATTTCTTTTCCATCAGACTAATAAAGCTGAAAAGGCAATCTATCGTTCTTTATTAACTACTCTAAATGCTTCACGGGTACTATTTTTCTCACTTGACTCACACAAGAATTAAACCAAATGGGGTACATCATTGTTCTTAATGGAAGAAGCCACGTGCTGTAACAACTGGTGATGCAGCTGACAGGCTCACCATAAAAAAAAAAAAACCAAAGGGCTATAAGCAAGACTGGATGCCATTTAAAAATATGTCCCTCAGAAACTTCCTTCAGAGGCTGTGAAATTCTCTGCTCCTCGTTATGTCCTAGAGGGTCTGTTGGTATTTACATCAAGGATATTTCCTTCCTTAAACCTGAGCTATTCTATGGGCCATCATGGACCAAAATAATCTTTGGGAGCCTCCGTCATTACTGATTTAAGCAAAAAGGAACTGCAGGTTATGGTGGTAGCTGGTGTGAGTGCAAGGAGAAGAGCAGGGAACGCCATAGGGAAGGGAGTAAGTAGGTTCCTGAAACGAGTCTGGGGTCTCGTGCCCCCCCAGCCGTCCCAGGGACGAGTCCAGCCACGCAGCACTCACTCACCTGGGCTGATGATTCCGGTGCTCCTTCTCGCCAGCCTCCCCCTCCTTCTCCCCGTTCTCCTTCTCCACCGAATCGTACGTCGACAGCGCCCTGTTCCTGAACCTGTGCCGTCTGTGAGGCTCTTCTCCATTCTCGCCCTTGGACCCAGGCTCTCCTTCCCGGTTCCCAGACCTCGACCCTCCCCGGTGTCGGGAACGTCGCTCGCTCCTGGCCCCATTGATTGTCCCGTTGCCTTCCTTGCCTTGCCGTTCGGCAGAGTGCCGGTGAGTCCGATGCCTACGGTGCTCCTTCTCGGCACCCTCTTCCACCGACCCTCGGCGATGGTGCCTCCTTCCCCCTTCCTGACTCCTGTTGCGATCACTTTTCCCTTCCTTACTCCCCCCTTCCACCTCCTTGCTGCGGCTCCTGTGCTGCCTGTGCCGCTCCTCCTTATTGTTGGCACCAGATTCCCCGTTCTCATCCTTGGTCACGTCACCCTTCTCTTGCTCTCCCAGTTTGTCCTTATCCCGATGCCGGTGGTGCTTTCGTGGAGCTTCTGCCCCATCAGCAGAGCTGACTTTGGTCTGCTCCACCTCCTGCACGTCCACGGGGCTCAGCTTGCTGATGTTGTTCCTCCCTTCGCCCCTTGGCTCTACCACCAGTGGCCGATCCAAATGAGTCTTCATGTCTGGCCTGATGTGAAGGGTGGTAGCGTACCGCACCCGCTCCTCCGGATCCAGCTCGTTGTACAGTGCCTCGCAGCTGGCTCGGAAATTGTGCATACGGATCTGGCTGGTCCTCTGCTCCCAAACGGACTTGGATTTGGAGGAGTTCTGCTGCTTGCTAAGGAGGGGAGGAAGACAAAAAGTTAGTATCCAACTTTGCACCAATTCCCTAAAAAGCAACCAAAAAAAAAAAAAAAGAGGAAATTTTCAGCTGAGACAGGGGATTAAAAGGTTGAGCCAAAGAAATTATAGGAATGGAGAGAGAATGGCTGGCGGAGAACATGAGCAGGGAAAGCCAGCAGGATCATCAGTGTTAGTTTGCCCCCACACGCGTTAGGCACTATGAAACAGGCCCTCTGGAAAGGAGTTATCTTGATTTCTAAAATGTAGCCATGCCCCTTGGAAGCCTCAGGTATAGTCTGAAGGGTTAAAGTCTCTGCGCACAAAAACCGTATAGCACAGCCAGAGCTTTTAAACAGCGTACAAGTCTTCCCCACAATTAACAACGCCTTTCTCCCCACCTGGAAACGTCTGGATGAGCAAATTAGCAGTGAGCAAGAGAAGTTAGATTGGCAGGAGGAGCAAGGGGAAAGGAAATCTGCCCCTGAGGATCCCAGCCTGTGTGGCCTGGCACCAGCCCCCTCCCCTCCCACCAGCCCCTTCCCCTTACAGCCAGCCAGAGGGGCCACTTTCCAGGCTGCTCTGCCCCGTCGGCTAACGGCACAGGAGAGCCGTTGTTCTAAACCCACCGCATCCTTCCGTGGTGAGGATGGACCACCCAGCCCAAGCATCACTGCAGTCTGGAAAAGTACAAGCAAGAAAGGAAAACTGTTCTGTGTTCCATGAAAAGACTGGAGGGACTGGGAGAGTCACACGTAGATGCAGATGTGATGAAAGCACCTTTATCCCCCAGACAGACCTGCTCTTTTCTGTCTCTATCGTCCATTATGATGAGGATACCTCCGTTGGCATTGCCTAAATGCTTTGATCTTTCAACACAGCGCTTGGTTTCTGATCACCACGTGCAAATGGGTCACCTACCTAGCCAATGCAGGAAGGGAAGGCTTTTTTTCTTTCCTCCTAAAGATTGCGAGTCAAATTCTGCTTTTGCATAAAATCAAAGTAAACCCAGTGGTTTCCAGGGTGGAGTTCTGGATTTAGCCTGGTGGAGGATCAGCACCCATTTTCTTCCTTAATGAAATTTCTTCTAACAAAGAGAGGAAAATCACTTTCCTTCCACCAGCCTGCTCAGATGTCTCCATTTGCCACGCGTTAGTCTGACCTCTGCAGCCGGAGGGGCCGCGTGGGGCTCACCGACCTCCAGCGCAATGCACAGCCCACGAGGGAGGCAGATGCATTTTCCTTACATGCTTTCTGGGCTCCCCTGACAATAGAAGAAAGCAGCTTTTGCGTGTGTATGTGCTGATTGGGACTGTCAGGGTCTGTCGCTGTGCACAGCCCCCGGGGGAGGCAGCGTTCAGACGGGCTCACGTAGCACGGTGGGAGCTGTCGGCAGAGCTTTGCATCTCTGAGCTCTGCTGGGAGATCCGTTCTTTACGGAGGGTGCTGCTGCCTGGTTCTGCTAAAAAGGCAAAAACCTACTTAAACGCTCACTGCAGATGGGATGAGGGCACCCAGGCAGATGTGAAGGAATCTGATTTAATCCAGAAAGCAGAGTGAGCAGAGCTAATCACCAAAACTAAAAATCTACATCCCCTGTTTCCCAAGAGGCACATTCTGGACTAATTTTCCAGCAGCTGAGTGCTCCATTTACACCACAGCAGAAGAACAGGTGACAAAAATCACAGTTCTAAACGTAAATGATACCAGAAGGTACTGGGGACATAGCTTAGAGCCCCACTCACCAAAAATCCCACCTCAAAGGGAGAGCAGGCTCCTCATTAGGGGAGAGCACCCCCCAAGCTGTCCTAGTGACCCCTGGCACAAGGATGAACAGCCTCATCACAGCAGGCAACAACTTGCCATTTCTTTTTGGTTCAACATCACGAAAGATTGAAATGTTGTCACTCAGCAGCAGATTTACTTGGTTTTAGAAGGAATTAATGAGTAACACGCAAAGCCTCTGACTGCCCAGACCTGCCATCCCGTACAAGGATCTTCCATGAGAAGACACATGCTCTGCATTTGCAGCTCTCCGCAGTCAGCAGAGGTGGGCACAGAGAGACGGAGCTGCCCGGGACGGGCGTCCCGGGTGTCCTGCGTGTCCTCCGGGATGGACGGGGTGCCTTGCTTTGCTGTGCTCCAGATCTAGTTCTGCTAAACCGAGCTGGGCTACAAAAATGAACCTCCTCTTTAGCACACAGGCTCAGGGAAACAAGACAGCTTAGGGATGTGTATGTGCCTGTCTGAGCTCCCCGAGTGCTGCCTCGGTGCAGGCCAACAAAGGCGTTTGTCCTTAGGGGACGTTTCTCACTTCTTAATGAAAGTCCTCAGGGCAGGGACCGGCTTCTGTTTTGTGCTTAGAACAGCCAAAGGGAGCTGTCAGCACTGAAGCGATAACTATTAATAACGAGTTAGAGTTGGGAAACTGCCCTTATGCTGACTGAAGTCTTCAATTTATCTGCAAACCAAGAGCACGGAGAAGAGCACAACCGCCTACTCCCGATGCACCATCCTATGCTCCATTTCCATGGGGCAGGCACCTCGAAGGGTGGGACGCAAAGCCCCAGCCTTCCTGCAGAGACTCTCTCAAAGTAAAACACACAATAAATCATCAGGCAACTTTCATGGGCCCAGCCTTTCCATCAGTGCCTGTGCTGAGCCCATCAAAGCCAAGACATAAAGAAATCTCCTAAATCAGGCTGGATGTGGTCAAGAGGAAAGTTGAGGACGTAGGACTGGTACTAATCACGAATGCAGAGGAGACACTCAGGACCTGCTAGCTCTGACACAAGATGTATCACTTCAGGAGGGGTTTTTTAGTTGTGTTTTGGTTACACCAAGAACATAAGTCAGCCTTTAAATTATCTCTGAGGTACTAAAGCTTCCACTGTACTTCACTGATGGCTAACTGAAAGGTGCTGCCAGGTACATACACCACTGACAACCTGGAGAAACCAAGTAATGCACGTATTAACTAAGCCCACTTTGCTAAAATCCCTTCCTTAAAACAGACACTGACATAACAGACTCGAACTGCTCAGCATCTAGAAATGAGATGCATCCTTAACACAAGTAGCGGAGGTGATTGCGAAGACTACAACACACAGCCACCCACTGGCTTTGGTTACTAACAAGTCGAAGAGCAGGAGGTTCAGAAGTAATGACTGCATCCTTTCTTCTTTCTACATGAAAAGACACACCACCAAAAAAAAAAAAAAAAAAAAATCAGAAAATATATGAAGCGCAGTAAAAACACAATCAGGAAAATGTGAAGCCTGCCCGCAAGCTCATTATCGTATTCAAACCAGTCAAGAACATCAGGAGCAAGTGCCAGTGCGCACAAAGTCTGCTGCAGGAGGTGGAAGTAAAGCAACCGAGCAGGTAGGTCCCTCCGGGGACAGCGTTTAGGGTTTTCAGAGCCAAAGCGGCAGCAACTGGAGGGAATGTGTCGTCTGCCTGTCCAATTAAATTTATCTGACTCTCGCTTTCTACAAGTTCCCACAGCAACTGAACGTGGACGTATGTGACAGCTTCTTCTCTCCTGTTGCTCTGCTGTCCTTCTTTGCAGAGGAGAGCTTTTGAACTTATCTGTGGCACAACAGGAATGTCACCTATAAACAAAACACAGTTTCATGACAACTGCCTGCCTATGAGGACACGGTGCCGATGCACACAACACAAAGAGCTGCAGAAGAGATGGAAAAACATAGACAGGGCAAAATCATTTCCTCTGCTTCCTCCAGCACTTGATCCAGTTAATTATTGAGGGCTGCATGAATTGGGGCAGACACAAACCATCTACAGTACGAGCGTGATATGCCGCAGCATAGCATGACTTGTCCAAACTGATAAAAATGAGCTTTTCTGATAACAAATACTTTTTCCACATGAGAAAACTATCTATTTATGAAGCCAACTCCTTCTCTGAAAGCCTGTTCACTGCTTGCTTCTTATAATCCTTCTGAATCCATTAAGAAAATTGCAATAATCACTTCCGATTTACAGATCCAGTTCAAAGATTAACGTTAGTTCACTTTCTTTACAATTACTTCCCATCCCTATTTTCTGTTGACAGAATATTTCAAACTCTTTGAAGGGTACTGGCAATACACTCAGTTTTCAGGTCCTCTAGGCTTGAAATAGTTTGTAGTTGTAGTAGATATTACTGCTAATACGCTTCTCTGAGGAGCCGCACTGGTTTTGCTTGGATTAAGAAGCCAGCAGTCAAAGAACTCCTGCCTGTGGCTAGAAAGAAAACCATACAATTCATATAGAGTCAAATAAAATTCATATTAATGAATCAGTGACTAATATTGGTATAAATAAAAAATGCAACCAGTCACTGTTCAAGAAAGGAAAGCATATTTTTAGTCATATTCTAATCTTAGGGTATTCCTTAATGATTAAAGATTTTGTAATCGTAACCTTTTAAAATACTGCTTCAGTTAATGGCACTTTGCCTCCCAGAACTACTGGTTTAATCAGCTACATAAATGCGATCCTTAAAATTTTGCTTTCGTAAATAATGAATGAAAGCTGACTATGAACATAATTTGATGTTAAAAATACCTACATATTAGATTGTGGGTACGAAAGAATGTGTTCTGATTACAGATGAAAGGGAATTTCTTGTTAAAATACAGTTTCAACAAAAAATGCAATGCAAAAAACTTTCCACTAAAACCGCATTTTCTGTTCATAAACTTGGAGAAGCTCTCTTCGTGTTTCAATTTTCCACTTGGAAAATACAATTAAGCATTTTAGTTTTGGGCTAGGCATGCACAAAGCAGAATGTTTTATCTCTGGTTTGATAAAACAATTTTCTTTCAGATGAACTCACCGCTAGTGTTTAAATTTGCTTTGCCAGTGACCCCAGGAGTTGCCGCTTGGATGCTTTAGCAACTTTTCTTCTTTATGAGCTACATCTCCCGCCTGAGGTCTCTCAGGAGATGCACTGTGCTCTCCCACCGAGCTGGTGTAACAGTGTGCATCACA